TTTGGGGAAGCCAGAGAACAGACTCCCTTCCAGGGGGCTGAAAAGAGATTGGGAACTACATTTCTAGAATTCAAGAGTGAGATCCAGGTCAGACCCACACCCGGGGCGGGAACACTGGGTTCAGAACTGGAGTGACGTGCCCGTATGCGTGAAGCAGCAGCTGCACTCGCCTTACTCTGTGGCCAGGACGTTCAGAGAAGATGGTGACCTGTTTTATTAACATCCAAATCTTCAAGAAAACGGAGGTTTTACTTACTACAGGAGGAACCCAGGTCCATGAAACATAAAACTTTAGTGTAAGTAACTACGAAGTATGCTACTTAATAAGTAGTATTTCACCCTTGAATTACATATTTTACTCATTAATAATTAGGGTGCTTGCTTTTTGCTTTTTTAACACTATAGTTTTACAGTAAGATTTCCTGTGACTCTTATAGCAATAAGGCAGATTTTCAAAAAGTAACAGTTTGTTTAGGCTCAGAATGAAGTGTAAAGCATTATAAAGTAACCAGAAACTGAAAATTAAGGGCAAGCTCATTCATTGTGAAAATACAAAATGAATGATAACTCCCTTATGCCCATGTGGTGGCCTGACTACCCCCCCACACCTTCAAATATACAAGTGGGCTTCAGAAAGTTCATGAACAGGGCAGTTTGTGGCACAGTGGGTTAGACTGCTGCTTGGGATACTTGCATTTCATATGAGAGTGCCAGTTCGAGTCTCAGGTACTCTGCCTCTGATCCAGCTTCTGCTAAAGAGCCTGGGAAGCAGCAGATGATGGCTCAAGCACCCGAGTCCCTGCCACCCATGTGAGAGACCCACATGTGGATGACCTGGACGGAGTTTCTGGCCCCTGGCTTCGGCCTGGCCTAGCCCAAGCTGTGCGGTCACTTCAAAAGTAAATCAGCAGACAGACAATCTCTCTGTCTCTCCCTCCCCCTTTCATTCTGCCTTTCAAATAAACCAATAAATCTTTTTTAAAGGTAATTTGGACAAATTGAATTAAAAGATAATTGCTGGAGTGACTATTTGGCCTAAAGGTTAAGGGACCACTTGGGAAACTCATATCCCATTTGAAGTGACCAGGTGCGCATCCCGGCTCTGCTGCTGATTTCTAGCATCCTGCTAATGTGCCTCCTGGGAGGCAGCAGGTGAGGGCTCAGGTGTTTGAGTCCCTGCCACTGACATGGGAGACTGGACTGACTTCCTGGCTCCTGGTTTCAGCCTTGCCCAGTCCTGGTTGTTGATGGCATTTGGGGAGTGACCCAGCAGAAGGGAGATCTCTCTTTCTCTACTAAATAATTATTTTAAAAAAGATAATGCATATTTTCCATGAACTTTCTGAAGCAGTGTTATACACCTTTTCCCCACCCCACAGGCAGAGTGGACAGTGAGAAAGAGAGAGACAGAGAGAAAGGGTCTTCCTTTTACCATTGGTTCACCCTGCAAGGGCCACTGCGGCCAGTGCGCTGCAGCCAATGCACCGCGCTGATCTGAAGCCAGGAGCCAGGTGCTTCTCCTGGTCTCCCATGGGGTGCAGGGCCCAAGCACTTGGGCCATCCTCCACTGCACTCCCTGGCCACAGCAGAGAGCTGGCCTGGAAGAGGGGCAACCGGGACAGAATCCGGCGCCCTGACCAGGACTAGAACCCGGTGTGCCGGCGCTGCAGGTGGAGGATTAGCCTATTTAGCTGCGGCGCTGGACATGTACACTTGTTTTCTACTAGTTTCAGGAAAACCTGTTTTGCTAACCTGAAATGTATCAATGCACAAATACCAACCAGTTCCACTTTGAAAGTTTTTCTTGTGAATTTAAAGTTGATTAAATATATTTTGCTGACATGGTAACATTTTGTCAAGTCAACCAATCTAAGGCATTAAAAAAAAATTCTCTGTGAGGACTACCAGTGTAAAGTAGATACTCTATAAAGACTGGTTATTAAGAATAAAACGTTGGTGGCAGTTGTTAGATTTCCAGAGCACATGCCTGCCCGTTTATGCATTCTAACTCCTACTCAGGGTTCACCTGCCCCAGACAGGCTCCACTCTTCCCTTCTGCATTCCTGAGTCTTATTAGCTCCCCCCACAAAACAGACACTTTAAAACCCTCATAGTTCTTTTATTTATTTATTTATTTATTTATTTTTTGACAGACAGAGTGGACAGTGAGAAAGGAGACAGACAGAAAGGTCTTCCTTTTACCGCTGGTTCACCCTCCAATGACCGCTGCGCTGCGCTGATCCAAAGCCAGGAGCCACGTGCTTCTCCTGGTCTCCCATGTGCACTCCCTGGCCACAGCAGAGAGTTGGCCTGGAAGAGGGGGAACCGGGACAGAATCTGGTGCCCTGACTGGGACTATAACCCGGGGTGCCAGCACCCCAGGTAGCGGGTTAGCCTAGTGAGCTGCGGCGCCAGCCATCCTCATAGTTCTTACACCATGGGAACCTGAAAACTAAACATTTGAGATGCCTATGACTTAAAGCAAGACCAGAGTCACTAGGCAGATGCACTTCTCTGCATGAGACAGCTCCTCAAAAAAGTCTGGCAGACATCGGAGATCACTCACTGAACTTACCGAACACATGTTGTTAACATGGACAATGCTGACCTCATGACTTATTCTTGACTTATTTCCATATAAAGTGCATTTGTGAAAATACTCTTGTCAGAAAAATTACTATCAAAACTCTGGTTGTCTTTCTGAATCCAAGGCATCTCAGAATGGAGAAATGAATGAATATCTATGCCTTTTTTTTTTTTTTTTACAGGCAGAGTGGACAGTGAGAGATAGAGAGAGACAGAGAGGAAGGTCTTCCTTTGCCGTTGGTTCACCCTCCAATGGCCGCCACGGACGGCGCACTGTGGCCGGCACACCGCGCTGATCCGAAGGCAGGAGCCAGGTGCTTCTCCTGGTCTCCCATGGGGTGCAGGGCCCAAGCACTTGGGCCATCCTCCACTGCAATCCCGGGCCATAGCAGAGAGCTGGCCTGGAAGAGGAGCAACCAGGACAGAATCCGGTGCCCTGACCGGGACTAGAACCTGGTGTGCCGGCAGCGCAAGGCGGAGGATTAGCCTAGTGAGCCGCGGCGCCGGCCTGAATATCTATGCCTTGAGGCTACGTGCTGCCCATACAAACTGCCAGGGACACAGTCCAGCAGGGGAGTTCCCGGATGTCCAGGACACACACAGCCTCAGTCATTGGCCCATTATTTCAGGATTCGACTGAGTCTTTAGGTACTGAGCCAAAAATAAATCTAATAGAACATAAAGATAAAATTACCGGCATTTCTTGCTTCACGTGACAGTTAAGATAGTTAATTTCATGCATCAGCTTGGTTGGGCCGCAGTGCCTAAATAGATACTTGGTTAGATATTACTCTGAATGTTCCTGTTTCTTGGACAAGATTAATATTTAAATTGGAGGACTTTGTTTTAAGCACATTACCTCTGAGATGTGGATAAGACTCATCCCATCAGCATAAGGCTATAACTGGACAAAGACTGACCTCAGAACAAGAAGGAATCCTGCCAAATGTCTTTTTTTTTTTTTTTTTTTGACAGGCAGAGTTAGACAGTGAGAGAGAGAGAAAGGTCTTCCTTCCATTGGTTCACTCCCCAAATGTTCGCCATGGCTGGCGTGCTGTACTGATCCAAAGCCAGGAGCCAGGTGCCTCCTCCTGGTCTCCCATGCAGGTGCAGGGCCCAAGCACTTGGGCCATCCTCCACTGCACTCCTGGGCCACAGCAGAGAGCTGGACTGGAAGAGGGGCAACCGGGACAGAATCCGGCACCCCAACCGGGACTAGAACCTGGGGTGCCAGCGCCGCAGACATAGGAATAGCCTAGTGAGCCACGACGCTGGCCGGAATCTAACAATTTCAATTCATTATCTGTAGCTGTCACTTTATAAAAGCTATCACTTTTTTGGTCAACCACATCTATCTGCAAGAGCAATTGTCAAAATGTGGTCCCTAATTCAACACCAAAACATCTGGAAATCTGTTAGAAACCCGCATTCCTGGGATCGCCCTTAGACTTACTGAGTCCATCTCTGGGGAAGTTAGGTCAGCAGTCTGTGTTTTAACAAGCCCTCCAGGAGATTCCGATGCATGAAAAAGTTTGAGAACCTGTTATCTCTGGTGAAGTCAAATATCCTAAGTATGAGACAGAAATGGATCAGGAAATTCTAGTTGGACTCTAACTACTGTGGATTAGGTGGAAGACATTTGAATTAGTTATCTGTCCTTTTTTTTTTTTTTAATTTTTTTGACAGGCAGAGTGGACAGTGAGAGAGACAGAGAGAAAGGTCTTCCTTTTGCCGTTGGTTCACCCTCCAATGGCCACTGCGGCAGGCGCACCGCGCTGATCCGATGGCAGGAGCCAGGAGCTTCCTCCTGGTCTCCCATGTGGGTGCAAGGCCCAAGCACTTGGGCCATCCTCCACTGCACTCCCTGGCCACAGCAGAGAGCTGGCTTGGAAGAGGAGCAACCAGGACAGAATCCAGCGCCCCGACCGGGACTAGAACCTGGGGTGCCAGCGCCGCAGGCAGAGGATTAGCCTATTGAGCCGCGGCGGTGGCTCGTCCTTTTTCATAAGGCATTCATTCAAAAATGCTTTTCCAACACTGTCTTATTAAGAATTACTTAATTTCAAATGACCTAAAATTTCCAATGCATTCACAGGGTTGTTCTGTACTCACCAAGACAGAACAATGGCAAAGTTTTTATGGAGGGCCAGTGACCAATTCCCAGGCAAAAGTTACAGGTCGAATGTACCATATTATACACTGCTAAGCTTTGGATTAAATTTGGAGTTCCTCCATTATACAGGACATAAAAGCTAAAAAGGTTAAAATACTCATTAATATTTCCAAAAGTTTTCACTCCATTACAGTAAAATTTGCCAGTGGGAAAAAAATCTCACCAAAGCAGCGATTCCTCTGTTAATTTGATTCCAGCTACTAATGGGCATTACCATTCCTTGTAGAGGAGAGATAAATACCTCTAAACTGTTTAATCATGTTCTGATGGTTTTCGATGGCTTCCTTTAAGATCATTTCAGGCGGGTCCATCTTCCACTGCCACTCAGTGCCCACAGGATTGGTGTGATGCCTGGGAACAAGACGCAAAGTTCTGAAGGACTCCTTACCATGAGAACTTGGCTAGTCATAGGACACAAGGTGCTCTGTAAAACCACAACGTCTGGACTGCTTTCCTCCTCGGAGCTCATCTGTTTAGAGCAATATTTTCCTACTTACTTTAAGTCATGACACCAAGCAGAAAGGGGAGGACAGAGAAGTCCTTCAACATCTCTGTTCAGGCTCCAGCCTCTAGCCCCTGATTGAGGTGACAGAACATTCACTCATGCTTTTTTTTTTTTGGTAAATTTTTGTTTATTTATTTGAGAGGTAGAGTTACAGAGAGAGAGAGAGACAGAGAGAAAAGTCTTCCATCTGTTGATTCACTCCCCAAATGGCCTCAAAAGCAGGAGCTAGCCTGATTCAGATTCCAAGCCAGGAGCCAGGAGCTTCTTCCCGGTCTCCCACATGGGTGCAGGGGTCCAAGCACTTGGGCCATCTTCTACTGCTTTCCTAAGCCACAGCAGAGAGTTGGATTGGAAGAGGAGAAGCCGGGACTAGAACCGGTGCCCATATGGGATGCTGGTGCCACAGGTGAAGAATTAGCCTACTACACCACAGCACCTGCCCCCCCTCCTGCTTTTATAAAACCATGTTAACTGCACATATATGCAAACACAAAGCAATCTGTCACCACCACATTAACACCGTCTAAGTCAACATGTCATAAAATGGGTGTCAGGAGAGCTCGAACCTACGCTTGGAAATCTTATGAGAAATTTCTTTGAGAAAGAGGGCCTCTGGTTTTAAGCCTTGGGAGGGGAAAGAAACTCCACTTGAAAATGTTTTGCCTACATCCCCTATGGAGCAAGAATGGGGAGACAACAAACAATCAAGGAGCTCATGAGAATGGGTGTTTTGTTTCACTCTGTTCAACAGGAGAAAACACAAGTGTGGCCCTGGCCTGGCACTTTCTGCAATCAACACATGTGGAAAAGTCGCATTCTAAATCAGTAAGTGTGGATAGTAAATGATGTCCATCACTGCACCTCTCCTTCTCATTCGAGTTTTTTGCTGGTCCAGCTCCACTCACAAGGATCCACTCTCTTGCTATGTTCCTGTATCTCACCAGTAAATTTCTGAATCTCCTTGAGAAGTCTCCACATGTCTTTCTCCAATACTTTCCAAGGTCTGAATTGAAACTTGCTACCCAGGCCGGCGCCGCGGCTCAATAGGCTAATCCTCCGCCTGCGGTGCCGGTACACTGGGTTCTAGTCCCGGTCGGGGCGCCGGATTCTGTCCCGGTTGCCCCTCTTCCAGGCCAGCTCTCTGCTGTGGCCAGGGAGTGCAGTGGAGGATGGCCCAAGTCCTTGGGCCCTGCACCCACCTGGGAGACCAGGAGAAGCACCTGGTTCCTGGCTTTGGATCAGTGCGGTATGCTGGCTGCAGCGTGCCGGCTGCAGCGGCCATTGGAGGGTGAACCAACGGCAAAGGAAGACCTTTCTCTGTCTCTCTCTCTCTCTCACTTTCCACTCTGCCTGTCAAAAAAAAACAGAAAAAGAAAGAAAGAAAATCAAACTCAAAATAATGCAGTGTTTTTAAAGATACATGTTATTGGGCTAGCAATATGGCACAGCAGGTTAGGTCACCACTTGCTACACCATCATCCCATAACAGAGTGCTGGTTGCAAGCTTAGATGCTCCACTTCCGATTTAGCTCCCTGCTCAAGTGTCTTGGAAAGTAGCAAAAGACAGCCGAGGTGCTTGGGCCTCTGCCACCTATGTGGGAGACAAAGACGGAATTTCTGACCCTTGGATTCAAGTTGGCCCACACCTGGCTGCCGTGGTCACTGGGGAGTCAACTAACAGATGGGAGATCTCTCTCTCTCTCTCTGTCTCCTTTTCTATCTCTCCTGCTTTGTTTTTCTGCCTTTCAAATAAGTAAATAAATCTTTAAAATATATTTTATGCATTTTCTAAAAAAAGAGTTAAAATTCTCCACCAATATGAAGATAGAGTAAGACACAGGCTGGAAAGTATTAAATCACTTCAGTTGTTACAGGGAGAAATGATGAGAACCAGCCGGGTAAGAAAATGGATACAGTGAGTTACAGAAAGGAAGAAATTTCCAGCCTAGGCCATTAGATAGCTAATGGTGCCATTACCCCAAAGAGGAAGAATGGGTAACACAGAGCATAATAAATTCCATCATAAGGAAGCTAGGCTCGGAGTACCTGTGGGTTATCACACAGAATAAATCCCACAGGCAGCTGGAAATGAAGAATGAAAACTCAGAGGAGAGACTGGGATTTGGAATGAGGTATTTAAGCGTCAGACTACAGGAAGCAATGAAGCCACGGAGAGGGTATACCACGCCTACCGCCATAATGCAGTGATAACAGCCGGTCAAAGGGAGCCAGCGGGAAAGCGTCAGTTAAAGAACAAGCCACAGAAGAGCTAAAGGGAACCTGGGAAGAAACGATTCAAGGGCGGCTGGGGTCAGGACACAGAAGGACTCGAAAAGACTGGCACATCTGAATCCCACAGAAGATGGGGTCTTTCTTGTCCAGAATGCTTTGCTGGAATTCAGTGGAGATAATCAAGTCACCTCTTTGGACCTGAGAGTAGGGGAGCCATGACTGAGCATACAGTGAGTGGTAATGGAGATACGAGTTGGCCTCGAGAGAGTGGACTGAGGAGCTGAAGAGCAAGTAGTTGCCAGGGAAGCAGAAAGATGAGTGAGTAGCAAGAACAAAAGAACAAAACAATAATTTACATCATAGGGATCATGTTCTAGAACAACACAGTTGAAATGTAATTTAGTTGAAAACCAACAGTAAAAAGCACTTCCCGAATCTAAATTATATGTAACATTTAAAATAGGAATTGTCATTTGGTATAGTATTAAGAAGCCGCTTGGGATGCGCACATCACATGTCAGAATGCTGGGATTTGAGTCCCCAGCTCTGCTGCTGATTCCAGCTTCCTGCTAATGCACAACTAAGAGGCGATGGTGCCAGCACCATGGCTCACTAGGCTAATCCTCCGCCTTGCAGCGCCGGCACGCCGGGTTCTAGTCCCGGTCGCGGCGCCGGATTCTGTCCCGGTTGTCCCTCTTCCAGGCCAGCTCTCTGCTGTGGCCAAGGAGTGCAGTGGAGGATGGCCCAAGTCCTTGGGCCCTGCATGCCATGGGAGACCAGGGTAAGTACCTGGCTCCTGCCATCGGATCAGCGCAGTATGCCGGATGCAGCACGCCGGCCGCGGCGGCCATTGGAGGGTGAACCAACGGCAAAAGGACGACCTTTCTCTGTCTCTCCCTCTCACTGTCCACTCTGCCTGTCAAAAAAAAAAAAAAAAAAATTAAAAAAAATAAAAAAATAAGAGGCGATGGTGATACCTCACGCAGTTAGGTCCCTGCCAACTTCATGGAAGACCAGGAATGATTTTGAAGCTCCTGGCTTTGGCCTGGCCCAGTCCCAGCTGTTGTAGACATGTAGAGAGTAAACCAACAGGCAGGCTGGCGCCGCGGCTCACTAGGCTAATCCTCCGCCTTGCGGCGCCGGCACACCGGGTTCTAGTCCCGGTCGGGGCGCCGGATTCTGTCCCGGTTGCCCCTCTTCCAGGCCAGCTCTCTGCTGTGGCCAGGGAGTGCAGTGGAGGATGGCCCAGGTGCTTGGGCCCTGCACCCCATGGGAGACCAGGAAAAAGCACCTGGCTCCTGGCTCCTGCCATCGGATCAGCGCGGTGCGCCGGCCGCAGCGGCCATTGGAGGGTGAACCATCGGCAAAGGAAGACCTTTCTCTCTGTCTCTCTCTCTCACTGTCCACTCTGCCTGTCAAAAAAAAAAAAAAAAAAAAAAAAAAAACCCAACTGGCAGGAAACCTCTGTCTGTCTCTGTCACTAAGCCTTTCAAAGAAACAGATTTTCAATTGAAATTTAAAAAAAACAGAGAATTAATTACAGAAGTGAATGTGTGTTGGGCAGAAATTGGTTACTATAGGGGCTGGCTTTGTGGTGTAAAGTTGCTACCAGTAGTGCCAGCATCCCATATGGGTGCCGGTTCGAGCCCCGGCTGCTCCACTTCCGATCCAGCTCTCTGCTATGGCCCAAGTCCTTGGGCCCCTGCTCCTGCGTGGGAAACCTGGAGGAAGCTCCTGGCTCCTGGCTTCGGATTGGCGCAGTTCCAGCTGGTGCGGCCAATTGTGGAGTGAACCAGTGGATGGAGGACCTCTCTCTCTCTCTCTCTGCTTCTCCCTCCCTCTCTGTGTAACTGTGACTTTCAAGTAAAATAAATAAATCTTTAAAGAAAGAGAAATGGTTATTACAGCTCATGGAATATTTGGTCACACGGCCACCAAGTTTTGCTTACCGCCAGCAAAAGACACACTTATTTGCACACGCCAGACTCGGGGTGGTTTCCATGCAGCGATGGCTTTCAATGCCATAAAATGTATGTTTATAGCAACCTCCTCTCCCTCGGAGCATTGACTGTGACAAGAAAGAAACAAGGAGTTTCAATAAAATCATCAAAGCAAAGAAAGAAAACACTAAGGCATCATTTGTAACAAGAAACCATGTGTTTTAGAACCATAAATACCCCTACTAGTTATCTGCATGATGCAGAAAATTAGTATTTTCACATTACAGTGTGTTGATAGTGCTTTGGATTTTCTAAAACTCAATGAAATAAACTTGGGATTCGTTAAATCTGAAAGCTCTGTAGGGAAAACCACTGATGCCTCTGTTTTCAAATCTACTCAACTGCCTCAAATAATATTAGTACAACAATATATAACGTCAGGGGATAGATAAGACAGGCTCCTAAGAAAATGGGGAAGTTCTCATACACAAAAGTATTCCTGTTTTGAATAAGGGAGGGTGAGTATGGAATGAATCCCGGAAGACACTTTCTGTCAACTGAACAGGTACATTTTGAACCTATTTCAGACAGCCGAGGGGACAAGCAGTCTGCATATAAGCATGATTATTCCCAAAAGAATAGTATTTAATGTGAGGGGGGAAAACCCATACAGATAGTAAGTAAGAAGGTAATTTGAAGGTATTATCTCAGACCAACTTATGATTGCAATCAGGATATTATCAAGCTTTTGATGTTATCTTCAGAGAGATGCATCCCAAAGCTTTGTGTAAGACAAGCTTGATTTCTGTAACAGTGAAAGCAGCGAAACCTGAGTAGGTTATGCAAGAGGTAGTGACGATTTGGCCTAGTGACAGAAATAATATGAAATTAATAACTGCTATAGCAAGCAAAGAGAATGAAAGAGGACATACAGATGGGTAGCCTTTACATACACACTTACACACATACATCAGTGTGCTAATATTATAATACTGTCTACAATGAAAGAAAATTATACAAAACCCTACCAGCTTAATTATTTTACCAGTTGATCATAAACTTACATTTTTTGTTGTTGTTCTGGAAAAAGGAGTTCCCTTATCCATCACAGTTAGTACACAAATTTAAAAACAAGAGAGAGAAAGTAAAGGAAAAGTACAGCTGAGGAGTACCCTGCCTACAAATTATCCTCCCAATTCCTAACAAAACATCAAATGACATACAAAACATTTAAACCTGGCAAAGGACACTGGAACTAAAAACAAAAGCCCACCAAATGCCAACACTATAGAATAATTTCCACCAAACACTATGACAGTGGAGAAACGACATTGATGAACCACACACTTTTTTATTGAGAAGTTAATATGTATTGTTATGAACTAAACTGTGCTTTCCCTCAGCTCACACTGATGTCCTCACCTCCAATGCAACTGTATTCAGACTTTAAGGAGGCAATTAAAGGTTAAATGAGGTCCCAAGTGTGGGACACTAATGTCATAGCCCAGACTGTCAGTGTCTTAACAAGAGGAAGAGAGACCGAGATCTCTCTGCCTGCACAGAGGAAAGGTCACATAGAGAACAGAGCATGGACGAACAGGGATGGATGGAACAGCAACCTGGGCAGCCTTGCAGGACCACGGAGAGCTTCCCATGGGGATTCACAAACTGATTACCAAAGGGCTGAAAGTTACAAGGATAGAACATGTGTGAATTGATTTTATCTTTAAAAACTATCGCTTTATAAAGTTCATTTGAATCTATGATCCATTTTGAATTAATTTTTACGTAAGGTGTGAGGTTTAAGAGAACTCGTTTTTGGGGGCTACAATTGGTTGGTTGGTTACTTTTCTTGCTTGCTTTTTGGCCCATGGATATCCAAATGCTCCAGCAATTTGTTATAAAAGGTAATCCTGGGCACCGGGTTCTAGTCCCAGTTGCCCCTCTTCCAGTCCAGCTCTCTGCTGTGGCCTGGGAAGGCAGTGGAGGATGGCTCAGGTCCTTGGGCCCTGCACCCGCATGGGAGACCAGGAGGAAGCATCGGGCTCCTGGCTTCGGATCGGCGCAGCACGATGGCCGTAGCAGCCATTTAGGGGAGTGAACCAACAGAAGGAAGACCTTTCTCTCTGTCTCTCTATCACTGCCTGTCGTGGGGGGAAAAAAAAAAAAAAAAAAGATATTATGGTGTGAACTTCTTCGGCTTTATCCTTGTTGAGATTCACTAAGATTCCTGAATCTATAGGTTGTCCACTATTTCTTCAAATACAGTCATGAGCTGCGTAACATTTTAGTCAAAGACAGGACCACATATACATAGCCACATACAGTTTTAAGGGAGCTGAAAAATTTCTATTGCTTAATGACATCACCACAGCCATCATAAAATCGCAGTGTATCACGTTATCCACATGTTTGTGGTGATGCTGGTATAAACAAACCTACTGTGATGAAAGCCATAAAAACATATAGCACATATATTGCACAGTACATAATGCCAGGTAATGATAAATGACTACATCACTGGTTTAAGTATTTTGTAGTTATATTCTTATCATAGAGTACAGTCTTTCTCCTTATAAATCTTGCTGCAAAACAATATGATACATTATGCTGGCAGCAACCACGTACCACTTATCCACCACACATCGCGGCTGCATCAAGAGGCCACATGGAGTAGTTCTCCTGCACCATCTAGATCCACCTGACGACGCGGTGTTCAGAATGGGTCTCCACTGTGAGGCGTCCCATGCCTGGACTCTTTCTCGTTCACCTTTCTCCAAGGACATAAATGTGGCACTCTTAGTACTGTCCTAGGAATCTCCAAGGTTTTTCTTAATGTTTTCATCCCAACCTATTTTTGTGTCTTTATTCAGACTGGGTAAATTGTATTGATCTGTTCTGCTCCCAGATCGTTCCATCCATCTGCTAAGGTCACTGACCCTATCTGGTCATCTCTGACTGTTGAGCTCATCTGTGTTTTTTTTTTTTTTAATTTCAGTTATGATTCTTTTCAATTTTATAATTCTCTTTTGGTTTCTTTTTAACTTCTATTTCTTTGCTGAGTTCTATTTATTTGTTTCAAGACAACTTATAACTGATTGCTGCAGCATTTTTATGACAGCTATTTTAAAATCCTACTCAGTTGATTTCATCTGCTGTTGGTGTCAGTTGATTATCTTTTCTTATTCAAGCTGGATTTTCTTGATGCTTGATAGGATAGGTGATTTATTTTTATTTTTATTTTTTTTTTTTTGCCTAAATGTTTTACTTTAGCAGGTAGTCACTTTGTTTCTAGCATACAGATCCTGGCCTATTTGAGTGTGTTGTAGTTCCAACGGCAGCTTAATGTTTAAAGTCCTTGCAGTATACTTTATCTGGGGTTGCCTGTGGTTCCCACTGGTATTGCCAGGGGTTGGCCCACTGGGGTCTCTCCATGGACAAGGCTTCCCAGCCTAGGCTACTTCAGCAGAGTTCTTCCAGGCTGTGCTCTCGGGCAGTATCTCCAGGTAGAGAGAACAGTCTCAGACTGACAAGGCTGAAGAGGCTACCTGTGGAGCAGTCCCCTGTTAGTCCCCTCTTGCAAGTGTCAGCCAGCCAGCACAGAATCCTGGGTAGGGACAGGGAGACTCAGCCCGCAGTGATGGAGAGAGAGCACTGCCCAGGCCTGGCCACGTGCTGGGGAGTGGGGCCTCTCTCTCTCTGCTTCCACTTGGCCAGCCTGCCATCTCCTGACAAGGAAGAGGAATTTCAGGCATAGGAAGGGAGGGTGGGCACTTGCTGCTTTTTATTGGTGAGAATCGCAGTCGATCCCCTGTGCCAGTGCTAATGGGCTTGCCTGGTCCTGTGGAAGAAATGAGCCTGCCGAGGTGCAGGTTAGAGCAGGAAACCTCCTTGCTTTAGGTGCACAAACCTTCTCCTGCTTCTGTGTCGTTCCTCCACTCGTGGTGGCCCAAACCAGAGGGCTTCCTCTTTCTACCCTTCAGAGATCTTGCTGGGTTGCCTCTTGTGACTTTCTTCAGGGTTTTTAGAGAGAAGGAGCAGGAATAAAAGGGCTTATGCCATCTTGCCCAGACCAGAAAGCCCTAGACATTACATTTTGAAAGAACTCCCATATCTGAAAATCAGTAGGATAGGTGGGTCAAAAAGGAAAAGATCTGAGAGTAATAAGCACTTAGAACTAAAAGGGATCATGATATGAATGCAGGGAAAATATACAGAGATAGCTTCAGATTCATTCATTCATGAATTTTTGTCACAAAGACTAATAAAATGCAAATGTATGGGACCGGAGTTGCGGCATACTTATTTAAGCTGTCACCTGAGACACTAGCATCCCATATGGGTGCTGGTTCAAGTCCTGGCTGCTCTGCTTCCAATCTAGCTCCCTACTAATGTACCTGGGAAAGCAATGGAGGATATCCCAAATGCTTGGTCCCCTGTACCCATGTGGCAGACCCGGATGAAGCTCCTGGCTTCATCGTGGCCCTAGCAATGGCTGTTGAAGCCATTTGGGGAGTGAACCAGCAGAAGGAAGACCCCTAGCTTTCCATCTCTCCCTCTCTCTCTGTAGTTCTTTCAAAGAAATAAATAAATCTTTCTGAAAAAAAAAAAAGAGGAAAATAAAAATGCAGCTGTAGTCCAGCAGAGCTCAGAGACTAGACTAGACTCTGCACACATCAATCATGGGAAGAAGGTACTGGGGGATGGAGGGCGTGTGTGGGGGACAGTTGGGAGATAATTCCCTATGGGTCTCTCTCTGAACAAATAGAGACACTGATCACTGGTTGGCTTTTTTTTTTTTTTAATTTATTTGAAACGCAGAGTGACAGAGAGAGATGGTGATTAAGAGAGAATCTCTCATTTGCTGGTTTATTCCCCAAATGGCTACAATGGAAAGGGCTGGGCCAGGCTAAAGCCAGGAGCCTGGAACTCCATCCAGGTCACCATATGGGGAGCATGGGGGCCAGGCACTTGTGCCACCATCCCCTGCTTTCCCAGGTGCATTAGAGGGGAGCTGGAACAGCTGGTTCTTGAACTGCTGCTCATAAGGAAAGCTGGTGTCACCGACAGTGGCTTAGCCCACTGTGCCACAATGCTGGCCCCATGGTTGCCTCCTTCTCCACTATCT